GATAGAGTTTGAATTTTCATATTGAAAAAATTTACATATATTGATCGGCGAAAAATCCGCACATATGATTTTTTATATGTGTGCTCAACTATGTTTGTGTTTATTATAATTTGTAACACCCCAGTCGTTTACCACTGTTTCATTCTCATTATTATCGTCATCATTTTCAATTTTGTACGAATTTCTACTGCATCTGTATAACCTTTATTGTTGCTGACAACTTCGTTCATTGTATGTGTCAGTTTCGTTGCCTTTGATGTGCTTGTGGGTCATGGTCTGCGCAAAATATGGGATACCAACCATTTCATTGGATTAAATTTATCCATAATTTTTATTGTGTAATCTAAAAAAAAATAAAATTCAACAGAAAAAGTAGACCGTTAAATACAAGATGTATGACGACATACGAAACTTCCAAAGCAAGTTTGCAAAATATACTGATGAACGTTTATCAATTATTGAATAGCTTGTATCGAAATAAGTGTTAAAAGCCAAGATCTATGAATCTGTTTGTAAAAATATATTTAATGAGCGCTTTATCAATTATTCAAATAATTATATAGGTGGGCTTGGTAGAAGTAAGTGCTAAAGTCAAGATCTATTTGCAAATCAAGTTTTCCAAAATGTACATTTTATTATTCAATAATCATATAGGTGGGTTTGATCAAAGTGTTAATTGTTTTATGGTGACCAAAACTTTTGTCCAGGGAGTGTATCTTTGAATGAAAAAATGTAGGGTGAAAATAATTTGCACAATTTTTTTGAGCGAGTTTCATAAAATTGTTGATTCATCAATTTTGGTCCAGGATTCAAGTCTCAATTTGGCCTGTTCCAAGTAATCTTCACAAGGAGATTCTTCAACCTCACTTTCATCGCATGTTACTAATGCATGAAATCTACCATAATAATTGTCATAATTGGTGTGTTTTAAGTTTTTTATGGTTAATATTCTCCTTGGTTCTTGATAATTTTCTGGCCATGTGAATTTAAAATTAATTGCATTTGATGGGTTCACTTTTAAAATGTCCAATGGGATTACAAAGCTTATTTCTGGACTGAATATTTTAAAAGATATCAATCCATGATGTATTTGATGGTGTTTCTTGGTGTAGGTGATGATAAAAATCATGCCCTAACAATCCTTTATCCTTTTGGATCTTTTGACTTGACATTTCGTTGAAAGAAACAAAAAAGGATGGTTCTTTTAATTCATAAATCATTTATCAACCAGGGAATTTTTTATAGAGATACATATAAGATCAGCAGGGCTAAGATAACATAGTAATTTTCTTATTTTTCAAAATGGCAACTATGCAAATTTCAAACATATTAAAACAAAAAAAATCTATTATTTTATGTGGTGTTATTTCATTATGACTCATTTTCAACAAAGCAGTAAGCCCCTTCAATATGGAAGTTCACATAGTTCATAAACAAATACACTTATGTCATAATGTATGCAAAGAGTAGTTTTATTTAGAAAAATTTATAGAAACATATATAGTAATAACAACATAGAAATCAATTGGCATAGATAATTTTATAGCATAGTAGACATTCGTTTTATCACATGTGACAAAATCGATCGTTGATCTTTTTTATGTTGTGAAACATATGACTTCAATTGAAT